TTTTATGATGACAGGTAATAATAAAATTTTCATACCTTATAGTTTATACCATTATAACTATTATTTATTATTTTTATATCAGTGGCATGAATAATTCTTGGAATCTCGTTTACTATTTTTATTAACTAATAATTACATAATTTAAATATATATTCTAATGATATTTTACTAATTGTATTAATTTTCTAATATATATTTTAAAAAATTGTTATTCATACCTCCTATTTTTGTTATTAATACTTCATATGTATAAATATGCGCCTAATTATATGAAATGGCATTTGAAATTAAAATCTGATTTGTTAATTATATTCATGTGATTGATTATTTGATAATGTAATACAAGTCAGAAACCTTATATAAACTTCTACAAATGGCGAATAAAAATTTACTTTCATTATTCGGTGTGGTTTTGTAATTCTATTGTATCACTTAATTTTTAATGATCACCATACGATTTGGTCCGAAATTTGAGAAATCACATAATTTTAACCTTTAATACTTCATCAAGCAAAAGACAATTAAAAAAAGTAAACCATAAATCTGAGAAGATTCAGATTTACATTTTTATTGTTTATATTTTTAAAATCACATAAATTAAAAAAAATATTACTGAGGTTGTATGAATTTTTTGATGATTATAAATGACATGAACCATACATAAAATATTTTAAATTTATTTGGAACTACTCTTTATCATGATCACCATCATCCTCAACTTTTTTACTTGAAGAAAGTTTTTCGATCAAATCCATCATCTTTATAATTTTTTCTTCAATACTTCTCATATCTTCATTAAATTCATTAAATCGATTTTCAATTCCTTCAGATTTCATTATATTCTTAACATCACCTTCAATTCCATTAATTTTCTTTTCAAGTCCTTCAATTTTTTCTCCAACTCCTTCAATAGTATCAACTTTTATTGTCATATTAATCATTTCTAATAATGAAGATGGAAGATATGGTGGATTGGAACTAGCATAATTCTTGTCGTGTACCAAACTAACCAATTTACGAAGTTCATCAACTGATGCTTCATAATTTCTAATATTAATATTAAAACAAAAAAAAAAACAATTAATTAAAATAAAAAAAAAGATATGCAGATTACTTAAATTTTATTTACAAGAAATCAGGAAACCAGTTTTTCTTTCGTCTTTGATATGGTAACATCCAAAAAAGTTCAATTTCACTTAAAGTCTAGTGCATAAAATAATAAATATAAAATGTTAAAAAGTTTCTTATTAATTTATAAAAAAGATTATATAATAATTTAGATTGATTAAGTACCACAGCTCTCAAATGTAAAAATGATTGTTTGTTATTCGCTTCACTAATTGCAAGACTAAGTAAACCAATAAACAGGTTCATCAAATAAATAGTTGTGGTAAATGAAAATGTAACTAATAAAATAACCAATAGCCATTCTTCAGTAAGAACCGATGGACTAATCAGACTTAAATCCCCTAATAGACATGATAAAAAAATAAAAATAATAAATAATAGTTATAATGGTATAAACTATAAGGTATGAAAATTTTATTATTACCTGTCATCATAAAA